GAGATAGAGAACTAACCTTTCTATCATATAAGGGAAGCTCGAAGAGCTTTCCTCGCATGCTTGAGGGCATCCTTCCCGTTTGTACGAAGGTTTTGACAAGGTAGTTTTGAGTCTTACTTGTTAATGAACAAGCTCTTCTTTATGATCCAACTACCCCTTTTGACTTAAAATTAAACAATAAGTTATTTTTATTCTACAAACCCTGGTTTAGGAGCGAGTGAAAAATAAAATTTGGGAACCAACCCTACATTCAGATGATGCAAATGAAAACCCTAATACACTTTGTAAACTCCACACTCTCATATGTTCGATCACATTAATCCCATATCCAAATTTATTTGCCCTGCCCTTTTTCCGGATATGTCATCGAAGGAAATCTCGTCCCGATCGCTGAGGAATTTTTCGGGATTTTTTCACCATCAATTTCGATTTTTAATTGAATATTTAAGTGGAAACGATTAAAAAATATATTAACTGGCGTGTGGCGGCATGGGAGCGCGCCGCGTGGCGGTCATGCTTGCAGCTCCCCACTCCAGCGCCTCCACTTGGCATTTCTTGTATATTTTATTCAGTTTTTTTTTCCCAAAAATCATTAAAAATGCATGAAAATTATGGAAAAAATTGGGAAATTTCCTAACTCTGTGTAGGGATGAATACTTCGTCAGGAGTTTTGGGTTAATAGTTGGCAAAATGTTTTTTGTGGAAATTGATATGTAATTCTTTATGTTTGTGAAAAGGGATTTTCGTACTATGGGATTTCAGAAATGATAGAACTAACAACAGTAGGAGGATCTTTTTAATGCCCTTCACTATACGGATGACTTCAGCATATGCATTAAATTCCTTCACATCCAGCTGGTTTTCAATTTGAGATTCAGTTGGCATGTTGCCTCCAGTCACCCACGCATAGCCACTACACCTTGTAGCTCCCTAAAAGAACATAAGAAAGTTACATTTTTCATTTTCGGATTACAATGTCATACCCAATTCTTCTACTCTGTAGCAGTTTTCGTTGGCTTAGGCAATGGCCGATCTGAGTTAGTGTTATTGGCTTAGGGAAGATAATACTTA